GCTACCTAGCCCCGTACCGTATTCTTGTTTGGGTGTGTGGTCACATTATGCACATCTCTCGTGTGACACGCGCACAACCCTGTTATTAGGGTTCGTGTAACCCCGTTACAGAAGTCGTATTCCACACGAGGGTCAAGGACCGACCGTGGATGCGCACGCATGGGAGCCGCCCTGCGGACAGCATCCAGCTGCTGTTTCTGGCCTCGTCGAGGTCATTGGTAATGACACCGGAAGTCGAGAGTTGGGGAGTCGGACAAGGTGTTCGCAAGGTTCGAGCAGAGCTCACGTCGCGCCGTTAGCGCACATCACCCTCGTCCTGAATAGGAGTAGCCGATTCGTAGTTGACTTCCTCGAGTCCTCGACGAAGAAATCCGTCCTCTGTGGCGGGCGCGGTGTGCGGAGCCCGGTTGCCGAGGCTTCGGGATGTGCTTCCCTTTAAGCCGCGAATGTACTGTCCGGAGTTGCACCGCGTGCAAAAGACGAAGAAGGGCTCTGCTCGTGGGCGCTCTCAGAACCAGCGAGGCTGAACATTTTTTGTGTTATTGGCACTAGGCTCACTGAGCAGAGAATGCGTGAAGAAGGTCCGACATGCGAGCCTCGTATGAGGCGACAGTTAAATGTGAATTGCGAGTATTCACAACTTTGAAGTGTAACGGGCTACACGCTCCCTGGTACAAAGGGTGGGTCACACACGACGATGTAACCACACGATGGTGTGGCTACACCTTAACAAGAAGCCATTTTCCGGCGTAACTGCCAATACTTATGCATTTTAATTAGGTTTTCTTAATTAAATAATAGAACCTATAGATATTAGAGATGGCGGCTCTGTTGCAAATAAAACAAAAACGATACAGTTTACAATTTGAACGAAGGGTGTATTTGCCTTAGTTTAAGGTTGTGTGCGTTCTTGGAGTTAGATGATTGCAGTCCGCTACACTCATACTGGTTCTAGTAAGTATAGAGCGCAAGATCGGTGGCCTTAGCTTAGCTTCCTCTGAGCAAAGAGCTATGGCAGCCCCGCTACATAACACGACAGGTCATCGTCCAGAACACTCATGATTAAGCAAATTTGCTACGTCGATGACGTAGTCAAACAATTTGGTCAATAAGATGCCAAGTGTGTCAGCACCCGTGCGCGTCAGGATTGAAGGTGTCGTCAACGCAGTCGCATACAACGAGGGATGCTTTCTTAATGATGCGCTCGAAGCAGTATCGATACTTTCTTGAGTGTGTGTGCCGTACATAACGACATGTGCTCGACCGGATATTGCATGCGTGAAAACACATCTCCGAAGAAACCGAGCTAGTAGCTGCTATCTGGATGCTACGCTACCTGAATAGTACATACCTAACCGGTATTGCCTCCCGAGGCAGAGATACATTGTCGTTAAAGCAT